CTACACAGTGGGGGCTATTAGTTAGATGGGTGGGTCTTAAGGTCCATGTTAACTGGAAGATACAGAGTAGCTCTCCTGTCTATTTGTGTGGGTGTTCAGCATTGTGACCTCAGATTTTGATGACTACAGGACACTGTTCTTCCTGTTCCTACTAGAATAAAGGCAATGATGAAACTCAATGCTCTTTTACTTCTTGCACCATCAAGAGAAATTTTAGCTGATGGTGCAGCAGAAAGAGCTAGACTTGGAAGGTCTGCAGGAAGCATTATATTCTCATCATGATGTGGAATCACCGATTACTGAGGCTTGGGAACTGCACAGTGCCAATGCCACAGATCATGTTGCAGGATAAAAGGAGCTGGGTCTGCAAACTGAGTCATTCAAACCTCAATATAGTTACAGTGAAGAGGAATCCAACTTGTTATTGTAGGGTACTGATACTTTAGCCAATGTTTCCTATACTTTGCCATGTGCAGCAGGAAATGGGGAAATCTGACATGCTGCAACACTCTCTGTCAGGCTGGGGCTTGTCTGTGGAACCCCACAAGGCTGCCTGTGTTCCCCAGTGGAGGACTTGGCTTGGCATCTGACACAGTGAATGGGTTTCACTTTGTGTGTTTGAAACCTTATTTCCTGTAATTAAGGTAAAGCAAGAATTTCATTTAGGGACAGAGGAACTGAACAGAAAATGCATGGAACATCATTTAGCCTGCTGCTGGCCAGATGTCAAAATGTAATTTGGCCCGTATTGTGCTCATCAGTGTTGGGTCATACTTTCTTAGCCTAGAATCAGACTGGAGCAGACCTCACAAGGTGAAGGCAGGGCAACATCACTGGTCTGAGCCAGTAGGAGTCCCCTACCCTGAAGCCTGTGCTAGGAAATCTCCCCACCCCTAAATCACTAAGGGTAAGGGAGTACCAGTCCCTACAGCACTCTCTTACTGGCTGCCCAGCCCAGCAGCCTAGAGGAGGGGCAGGGAAGAGGCTGTGGTGACCTGCTTCCTGGAAGAGTGTAGATATACCAGCTGGCTCAATGTGGCTTCCTCTTCTCTGGTATTAAGGGGAATCGGAGGAAGTGCTGTGGCTTCCCCACCCCTGGGAAAGCAGGTTAGCCATGGGGAGGGAGGAGAACAGGTGGGCATTTTTGGAGATCTTCAATATCAAAAAAAGAAAACTGCCTCTGAAAAACATCTTCTCTGGCCCCCCTCAGCACTCCAGCTACCAGGCAAGAGACAGATTCATTAATAAAAGTGCTGCTTTCCTGCTCTAAAGAGACTGTCTCGCTCAGCAGAGGCTAGTGGTAGCCAGCGCACACTGTGGGGAAGCAGGAGAGTTCCAGGCTCCTCCAAGGAAACAGCAATGAATGGCTTTCCCATCCTTGTGCTCCTCAGGCAATTTAAAGGCAAATTATGCTTGCAGTGGAGTTTCTCCCTCACTGAGGAATCCCACCCACTGCGAGTGGGAACAGCCGTGAGTTACCATTCCAGTGGAGTCTGGGCCTCGGCAGACAGAGCAAAGAGACCAGACAAGTTGGCCAGCCTTAGAGACGGGGGCAAAAGAGCTGTGAGATTAGCTGGAAAACACTCACTGGGATATTTCTTTGGAACAAATGCCTGTCACAAGCAGAGTGAGGGCTGACCTGGGCCTGAGGCATCTGAGTACCTCATGCTAGCCAGAAAACAGGGAAGCTTTCATGCTACAGGTAGAGGGAATACTGCTGCCAGAGCACCAGCTAGCTGCAGTGCTGGGTCAGGTTATTCAGAGGAGTCCCGAGGGACCCTGTGAGACCTTCTTCTCAGGCTACATAATCCTTTGGGGACATCCCTGCAGTCATTCCACTTGCCCCCAGAGGCCAGGTCATATTTGTGATGTCAACCAGAAGACCAGCAAAATCCTTAGTCTGTGTATGCAGGTGGAGGGGAAGGGAAAGGGGATTTCTCTCAGCTTCTGTTACTTTTCTCACAGTCTGAGAGATGGGAGGCACACACCGTACAGCTGCCACTGGGTTGCTTGCGCTCTGGAGGGGGGAGTGAAGTGGACCAGAGCTGACTGCAATATTCCAAGCCCTGGAGAGCGTGCTTATGACCCCAGTCCCTCAGCATGTGGCCGCCAAGCAGTGCTGTAGGGTAACTACACTTGCTGGACAGTGAAGCGCACTTTTTGCTTGCTACCCCTGAGGTCCCGTGGTTTCAATCTCCCATTCTTCTGCTCCATATGCAGTCAGTTTCCAGTGCAGAACAGGTGTCACCCACAACCCAGTTTGAACCACACTGGTACAGATGACCATGCGAGGTAGAGGCCATTGGTGACTCTTAACTTCTCTCACAAGGCAGGAATCATAGCCCCATATATCCCACACAGCGGGGCCTGCCTCTCCCTACCCAGGTGGGGGATCAAGCTTTAGTTTGGAGTGATCCAGCAAGAGAGGCAGTGTCCCCCTCAGGGGGTCTCCAATCCACCTGCCCCCCTAGTGCAGGCTGAGTAAACCCTAAAACAGACCTCCCGCCTCTGTCTTCTCCCCCTCCCATCCTGAGAAAGCACTGGGGGCAGGGCTGGACTGCATCAACCCAGCCCTGCTTGCAGGCAGGGACAAACAGAAGTTAATGAAGGTGCCTTCAGAGTGCCTTTATCTGAACCCTCATTTAATGAGGGTTTAACTTGCCCTGTAATCCAGTACTTTTAAAGTGCTCTGCAGCTGTAGAGCACTTTCAAGGAGCCGATCATGCAACAAACCTAACTTCTATCTGCACCCTAGATGGTTATGAAGAAAATCTAAAGAATGTGAGCCCCTAATGGCTGAAGAAGCATAAAGCAACCCCACCCCCCAGATTGTGATTTTTTTTAAAAAGAAGCTTGTTATTTTAGCTCAGTCTCATAACTTTGGGGGCCTGATGCAGAACCCTTGAACACATGGGGTTGCCTGTAATGGGAGCTTTTTACCTCATCACCCTCTGAATCCTCTGGCTGCACTCCATTGCCAGGGTCTCCTTCCGCCGGGTCTCAATGAACTTCTGGGCATGTGTTAGCAGTGTTTTGCTGGGAGGGAACAGACCTGTACAGAGCCAGAACAACTGCCAGCCCCTGTTCACACTGTACCTGTGATCACAAAAACAAAGAAACAGCTGGATGAATCACACTCAAACCACACAGCACATACAGGGAAAGGAAACACAGCTCCACACTAAAGCAATATTGTGCCATTCACAGAGCAAGCAGCAAATCATCAGAGTCTGCATGCAGCAACCAATTTTTCTGCAATGACTGAAGCCCACATCTGATGATTATTTTAAGTCCAGACTGATAAATATTCATGACAGTTGCAAAGCTCATGAATAATTATGGACTCCAGCCTGACAGTTATCTTGGCAGCAGTCTTTGGGGCCATCCTCCTGGAAAAACAGTGTTTGCTCATGCCTGTTCAATATTACAAGCTCACATTTATTTGGAGCACATTACATACTTTCTGTAGCAAATTTGTTGCGTTTGTCCTCCCATGTTCCTGGCCAGCTGTTCATGCAGGCACTCTCCTTTCAGTTGACTCTCTTTTGACCATGACTGCTGTGAAAAGTGACTGTCATCGAAGGTGGGATGGGCTGGGGGGAGGGTTCCATAGTTATCGTCTCTAGCAACTCCACATCAAATTTACATATTTTACATGTAAAAAGATGGTTTCTCTAACCTCCAGCCTGGGCTCTGTCAGCAAAGCTGGGTTTGCTTGGCTTGGCCATATTACAAGTGATAAAGATTCTTCAGCTGAAACTTAGCTAACACTTCTACTGAAGGGGCTAGAAATAGGACAGATTCCAGATACTGCTGCCGGAACGGCTCTGAAGTGCTAATGAGCAAGAAGTTCCGCGAGCTGGTTTTGACTAGTGAAGCCAGTAGCCCTGACCCTTAATCTACATGAAGATTTTGATGAAATCACTGATCTCGGCAAATATACCAAGAGCCAGTTTTTTATTTCATTTATACTACTGTAAAACTAGAGCACCTTCAATAAGGAGTTAATTTACATTCAGATAAAAAATGTGAGAGATGTGGGCTCCTGGGCAAACTAGAGACTGTAATGGCCACATTTTAAGGGTTGCTTATTTTCAAGCCAGCATTTCAGTTCAACACTCTGAATTGCTCACTGGGGCTACAGTGGCAAACCAAAGCAGTAACTGCAGAGCTACCCTGATTAGAGACCAAGGTTTAACAGCCTGTAAAATTCACTGCACTGTAACAAGCAGAAGGCTTAATACAATTACACTGCTGCTCATTTTCCTCCAGAGAAACAGCAAGGCAGAAAATGGCTGGCTGGGAGCTGCAATTCCAACTGGGACAGTGATGCAATACAGTAGAATCTGGCTGAGCTTTAACAAATGCCCCTTTGTTAACATAATTATAATACTTGGAGCTGCTGTGGTGATACGTTCCATGAGGATGAAGTCCTACAGCACCCCTCACAAACAGACTGGTACAAACAGAGGCACAGCTTGGTTGAAAAACTCTGGACGGGGTAATGGAGCTGTTCTCCCAGGTGGACAGTGCACATTTGTAAAGTGATCAGCAAAAATAGCTAGTGGCAATAAAAAGATCCAGCAAAGAGCTGCGTGCTGGCATTCTGGTGGAGAGGCTAACACAGGTGAGGGGCTGAACTGGGATATGAAGGTGACAGCCCTCCCCATTGCCAAAATAAACAGGTGCACAAGTATCCCCTCTGCAGATCAAAGCCACAGCCAGAGCTCTGGGAATGGAGAGGATGCAAACAGCAGCCAGATCATGGGCCGGAGTCAGGGTGATCCTTCTAGTACCCCAGGATTTGGCAAGCCACACACACAGGCCCCATACCTGTTTGTGTTCTCAGTCAGTTGCTTCATGATCTGACAGTACGTCTCATCCCGCAGTGCCTCCTCCTGGATGGCTACCACAAATATCTGGTCAGTGATCTCCATGGAGGACCAGGCTTGTTTTGAGGGGTAGTCCCCCATGAACCTCATGATGGGTGAGGGCACCGTTAAGGGAAAGGAGAGCTACCAGGTGCAGGACGCACCATCAGAAAGCCAGTGCTAACCCTGGAACTGCTGCTAACTCTAGTCCAGCTGTCACTCCAGCAGGTTCCCACCTCCTGACTGACTACGCTGCTGTACAAGCAGTGGCCACATACTACACCCTATGCTGCCTCCTCGGAGTCAACTAATACTCCTCCCTGCATAAACATCACCAAGCCAAGTATTGCACCTTCTTCTGTAACCACCAAGGGCAGCTGTGCATGGACCTGTCAATGATAAGGGGCTTGCACTGGAATGTCTCCCCTAGGATTATTCTACATGGCTTCTTTGGAGACCCACTTGAGCACCACTCTGTCCAGTCCTCTCAGAGGGGGATTATCAGCAGCTCAGAGGCTCTGGGTTCATGTGTTAAAGCCATCACCCTTTCCTACAACACCTAATTCACTGCTGGAAAATTGAATCCACATCCTGGCAGCAAACAACTAAAGATCATCCAAACTGATTGGATCCCCCAGAATGGACGGAGGAGCTGTGGAGCAAAGCAGAATGGCTTCTCCCTGGGTGGGAGCAGTGAGAGCATGTTAACCCCATATGTTCTGCATAGCTGAGCCCAAATTTAAAATTGCTGGAGGACTCTCCAAAGGATGTGAGTCTGAAATGTGGATTCATCAGAGGCAGCTCTTCATTTCTCTGAGAGTCAGGAGGCTGTGCCTGGCTGAGGCAGAAGAGGAAAGGATATCAATGAAGGTCTGACAAGCCAGGTCCCAAAGTTCCGGCTCTGCACACACCTTCTTCAGCAAGGGCTGTTTCAGGGGTTCCTTTGAGTGTGCCCACAGCTGGCTGCGCCCACGGGATTTCTGGAGGACAGCTTTGCTGATGGACTCCTTCTCTGGAACCCTGAACAGAGACAGAAATAGATTGCTCAGATCTACTGGATTAGCATGAACATTAAATAGGAAGCCAGTCTTGTGCTGACTAATCACTGATCACATTCTATCCCAGGCAAGTATCACATATGAGCACACAAGCCCGTGAGGAAATGGGAGTGCAAATCGGTCCCTCCTCCCTTCCCTTCTCTATCCATTGTTGTCCTAATTTCCACCTATATACATTCTCACTGAACACCTGTCACACTTATCTTCTTTCATTCCTTGGAGATCTCAGAACAACAGCAGAGTCCCCTTACTCCTGAAGAAGGGTGCTTGTGCCTGAAAGCTTGTGAAGAACTTTTTTTCCAACTACTCAGTTGGTCTAATAAAAGATATTGCATCTACATGAAGAACCTTGCCAGGAGGAAGAAGGCAGGCACGAAGAATAATAAGGGTGTATTAAAAATATCCTTTTTTCTTCCCACCTTGGAAGATGCGAAAAGTTTGTACAACCCAATTCTGCCTTAAACACATGGTAAATTCAGGCAAGGGACTGGAACTAGGGAGAGTGCTTCCTGGGAGGAGGAGAGAATTTAAGTTCAGGTTCTTCTAGCCTGCCTGTAGTACTGCAGCAGGTAGGGGAGGTTAGTAGCTCAAGAGCCAGGATCTCTGCCCACAGGGAGTCACTTGAGTCAACTTCATCACAAGAAGCAGAGAAGAAGTTCAGTTAGAGAGGCCTTCTACATGGGAAATCACCACTATGTCCATGATAGGGGCAAGGATTATTCGACTCCAGTCAGATACCAGTTTTTTTCCGGAGTTTTGCACACCCTGCAGGAGGCTGCAGTACCATGGACAGGGGGTTTACCTGAAGTGCTCATAGGAGAACTCCTCCAGAGTGTAGGGCTTCACCTTTGGATCCTCTTCCTCAGGCTCTTCCATGCGGGAGTTCTGTGAGGCTGTTCTCCGCTGATCTGGTGACATCAGCAGCAAGCTCTGGAAATGTACAGTCATTCAAAGCTTCCACACTATGGCAGGGCTCTAAATGGGCTTTTTGGATTAGTGCCATTGGATGTTGGGGATCAGGACCAGGGGTTTATATTAAGCTCAATTATTCTGTGCTGCTGAAATGCAGCAGCCCCCATAAATCTCTACAGAGACTCAAGAAAGTATCTGTGATGCCTTCTTGCATTGACACAAGCACAGACAGTGACAAGCAGCACCAGTTTTGATCAACCCTAGCACCATCCCTTGCAGTAGAAAACCACCTTGTTCTTGGCTTGTTTTTCTTTTCCAGTTGGTTCCTCTTACTCCATTTTGCAGTGGAAAATATATCAGCTCTCTAAAACTGGGGACAGATAGAGTGGATCACTGGGAAGACGGTTAGGGGGATAACTTTCATTGGGTCCTGGTTAGCTGTATTACTTTAAATCAACACTGAACAAGAAACTACTCTCCTCTTTCAAAGGCATATAATCACCAATCAGCAGAAATCCTAGTCAGTCAGCTCAGTAAATCATGTGACTGTTTGCAACAAGTATTTCAGATAAAGGGCTTTTGAGTGTTTGTATTTTCTTTCAGAACAGGGATGAAATTAAAAGTCCATTATTAATGGAATCCTCAATTCAACACACCCCTCTTCAGGCACTACTGTCAATTCCATGCCAAATTCATACACAAAACAGAGAGCATCAAACCCCAGCAGCCATGTGACAGTACTACCATTTTGAGCATCATTCCTTGCATGCACTTGAAATGTTATCCGATTTCCTTCCCACTGGACTACAGATTTTTTCTTTTCCATTCATGTAATTCTGATTGATTTGTTGCTCCAATGAAAGGTACCAGCAATACAACTGATTTGAGAGGACAAGTCATATTCTAGTTCTGCAGTTAATAACTGCTTTCAGTACTGTCACATTATTCCCCCCACTCAGATCGCTGAGATGTAGAGACCATTCTACTAGTGTTTAAGTTCACATCATATGCTCCTTACCAGGATTTGACTAGATGGTTTTGTGAGGGAAGGGATGATATAGATTGCCTCCAAAGACACAATGCCTGTTTTCCTTGTCCTTTCATTCTGAGCTGAGATCCAGTTGTTATTTGCTTCCAGCCCTTTGTCCTGGTCCAGAATCAACAAGTCCCCCTTCTTGAAGGACAGAATGGCAGGGTCTGGAATCAAGAGAGAACTACAGTGTGCTGATCAGATTCTACAGCTGAAGAAGAACAGCTATAGGATTTCTATCTGAAAGGCAATGAACCTGCAAGGCCCAAATTCATTTAGGAGTAGAAAGCAATTTTCTTGGATCTAGCTGATTAAAACCAGTGGGAGTTTCGCTGTTGACCGCAGTGAAAGCAAAATGAATCTGGCTGTGGGAATGATGGCTCTACAGGGCATCTGTTTAAAGAGTGCAGAATTGTCCCTGGGATTGTCAGTGATGCAGGGAAAAATGCTCATAAGTTTTAGGGGACATCCACACAAGACATTTACTGCAGAGTAGCCTAATTAGCTCCTCGGTAAGGCATCCCCATCTACACATGCAAGGCTATTAGGTTAGAGTAAGCTAGTTAACTCCACTGTAGGTTAGTACTGCTTGATACAAGTACTGTCCTATGGTGAAGTTATTTACTCTGCCTCTGTATGTGTAGACAGTGGCTGGGGCACGAGGGTGCTACAATGCAGGGCTGCCTGCCATCTAGCCCCATACTGTAGCACCCTTGTGCCCACCAGGCCCTCCACAGCACACTGAGCCTGGTAGGAGCAGCTCCAGGCTGGCAGGTTGACCCTCTGGATCCCCTACCAGCTGGGGCTCCACTGCCCTGGCTCAATATGCTGTGGTCCTGAGCACACATGTAAACACTGTGCCTGGGAGCAGTAAACTGGTACGAACTGTTGCATTAATACTGAGGTATAAACCCATCCAGAGAGAACTGGGAGAGTAAGGCATTTGCATGCTAACTTCCTCCCTCAGTCAACAGCTTTTCACAACAATCTCTAGGCTTTCAGCTCTTATAGAGCTTCTATGGAGACTGTGCCCAGATAGTTAAGTCCTAAGCTCCTGTACAGGCAAGCTGAGTTTCTGGAGCATGGAGGGCTTCAGAGACAATATCCATATGTAGGAAGAAGGAAAAGGAAAGTCAGTTCATAGATAGGTAAAGAGTCCTAAACCCTGCCTCCCTGAATATTGCGTTGCTATGCTGGTCACAACTGATGCTTAGTAGAGCAAACTACTGATCTCACAGATTTTTTTCTGCTTCTCTTTTATCTCTTTCAAACATTTATTATGGGTTTGTCCAAGATTTCTTCCTGCCCACATGACATACTGTCAGAGTTACCTTGGGGCTTGTTCTCCTGCATGGCCACAGCATACTGTGACCTCTTCTTCAATCCTTCCAGAAACATGACCACAAGCTCAGCGATGACCACACTGTGGACAGATGTCAGGACAAACTCCTCTGCCCGCAGTGTCATGAGCGTGCAGCTTTGCCCAAATGACTTCACTGCCCTGTAGATCACAAAGCACAACATCTGGAAACATTCTGTGACCTTTTAGCGGCGTGCAGGCACAGCTCTGGCATCTACAGCTCTGTGCCAACAAGCGCTGGGAGCTCCTATCAAGTGCCTTCTCACAAGTAGGTGTGTGGAGAGGAAGATATCTGGCAGGTGGATATAAAACACAGTACTAACATACACATTGGCTTAGGTTCCCCATGTTTCTCCACAAAGGTACATCATTCTTGGCACTGAAAAAAACATTTTTCTTTGGAGTGAGTTCATTCAGTCAGAGGTTTCCGCTGTACTTTAGTTCTGTCCTGGAAGTTTTTTTGGACTGACTGAGCATGTTTAATCACTATGTTCATTCAACCAAAATCTTCCTAAAACATGTCCCACTAGTGGATGCTGACCCAGACCCAGACCAACTAACCACACTGGTTTTTGGGAAGGGAACTGGAACTCCATCTTACATGGAAAACCCCTTGTTGAGTCCAGCAGCTTCCTTCAGACCTTGCGCCTACAAGAGACTCACCTTGTGGTGTGGATTCCTGTGACTTCTGGGAAGGAAAGCTCAAGGAGCCGCTTTTCTGACTCATCAAGGAAGCAGATACCTTTCCAGTTGATGGCCACTATAAAGTGGTTTTTGGGCAGACTGGGCCCTACAAATGTAAAAATACCTTCTCATAAACACTGTTCATCCCTTTCCCTCCTTTCTGCTTAACCCCCAGGCTCTCACCTGCTCCTGGGCTGCCGTGATTACCTGAAAATTTGGTAACTTCAAAGAACCTAGAAAACAGCAAAGGCCACTGAAAACGGGCAAAATCCACAAGCTGCTCTTTCACACTCTGAGGGGAGAGCTGGTCCTGTGTGTAAGGGGCCTGCAACACAAGAACAAACCCATGACTTCTTAAGTTCAGATCCTGTGTATCAGGTACCAAAGCACAAAGGTTGAGGATAGACAAACAGCAGGCCTGATCATGCAGAGAGCCCTCAGCTATCCTGAATTGCGTAGAGAATGAAGGGAGTTCAGAGTTTTGCAAGACTGGCCACATGTGCACTTGCAGAATGAGGAACCAGAAGCATTTTCTACTGTCTTACACCATCCTGCTTACACAGGGCTAATGGCACACACAGCTACTGAGATTCTGTGCTCCACTGGACAGGGAGCTCTGCTCCTGACTTGAATGCTAAGTATTTATCCCACCCTCGGTGCTGTATAAATATTACAATTAAGCAATAAGGCTTGTGTCACAGATAAAGAACAGCATAGTGTTCATAATCACAGCCATTTTCTGCAGTGTCCATCCTGAATCAATTGCCAAAGTTGGACATAATGAGAGCTCCTTAAGAAAAAGTGCTGCAAGTGGATACCAGTATAAACTGGTATCTTTTTGCCTCATGGCAAATCTCATGGGAACCAGTGTGGGCCCCTTTTCTCAATCATCCCAAACCAATTACATGGGGCAATTAACCAGACTTGTCTGTCCTTATTCCCTGACAGCTCTGGGTACTAGCCAGTTCTCTCCCTGCAGAATCTCACCACAGAAGCACATTATAACTGGTATTGATGACGGAAGCAGAAGTCAGGACTTAGCACAGAGCCTTGGATGGTCAAGATCAGTTAATCCAAAGGACTATACGAGGTCCCCACCTTGGCATGTGCATACGTTATGAGGCTTGCCCACTTCTCCTGGGACTTTGATTTCAGCAGCCGTACTGGGATACAGTCCTGGAGCACTTTCTGGACCAGCTCATGCCGGATGGAAACCCCAAACTGGATGTAGCAACACTTTGCTCCTATCTCCACCAAATCCTCCTCCTGCAACAAGCCACCTGGTTAACAGATGCCTGAGGAGACACATCCATGTCCTACCATCCATACCCAACATAGCATGGACTGGAGTCAGGCTGGGGACTTTAACTTCTCTGCTTTCAGCCAGGCTGGTTTGGAGACCTGTGCAGGTCTTGGTCTGGCTGTTGGCAGTCATTTGGAAAGCAAGAGGCCAAACTGTAGACACCCTTCATCAGAGAAGCCAGGTTGTAGACAACCTTCCTCCAATCCCCACAGGGTCTGTCCCCCTCCCTGCATATCCCTGGGGTAAGTCCTTATGTTCTACCATTCCTACACAGGGAGAAAAAAAGGATCCCCACCTTCTCACACCGGTATTCTCCAAACCGGATCCCACGAATGACCTGGTGGTAAATGAGATCAGTGCTGACTGGGTCTTCCTTGGAGTTGTGCCAGGGAGTGAATATCTCCTTCCGGAAATACAGGCGCCATGGGGCATGACGTTCGTGGCCACCACTTTCTTTCGCCAGCTCCTCACACTGGGAGATGGCATCCATGACATGATCCCGGCCACTGCCCAATGACCAAACCTTACAGCAAAAGGACAGTCCATTTTAGGGAAATAATTGAAACTCACTAAACTGCAAACCAGATGTCTAAATCTCCCCTGTTAGCTAACAACGGAAAAATCCTGCAGAAGCCAGTTCATACACTGGACTAAATTCAGGACGTACTGGGTACCTCTACACCTGCACTTTTAATGTGCATTAGCTTATTTTAAAGCATATTGAAGTGTCACTAAAACCATGGGGCATTTTTACACATGCAAGCGCTGCAGCACCAGGCACTTTGAAAAGTGCCCACTGCTGTGATGCCTGTAGTTCTATAAAAGGTGAAATGTGCATCAGCACTGAGAAAATGGTGGTGGTGCACTTTTGAACTAACACGCATCGGTGGTGCTTTAGTTCAAAAGGTCACCGCTGCCATTTTCTGCATGCTATGTGCATTTTGCTGCTTATACAACTGCATGTGGTGCAGCACAGTTCGCCTCAGCTCGTGTACGAAGCAGACTCAATTAATCGATTAATCCAGTCTGCTCTAAAGCGGTGGATCTCTGGCATATCACAGGACAAAAAAGTATGTGTATAAATGCCTGTGTTCTTTAGTTAATGTGCTTAGAATAAGCTAATGCACAGTAAATGTCACTTAATAACCAAGTTAATGCACATTTTCCTAGTACCTCACAATGGAAGAGGTACTGGATTTAATTCGCATTAACTAAAGTGTATTAATGCATGTGTAGATGCACCCACTGTATGCAAGTTCCACATCACTAAGGTAGGTTTAGCTTTACTGATGACCAAATGGAGCATCAGCTCCCAGGGCATGGAGAAAGGATCTCCCTATAGGCAGGGCTGAGCAAACCCCTGGATGGAGCCTGAGGATTTAAGGGTGGATGTCATAGCTTTACCTTGTCATACACAGCAATGTAGAGAGAAAAGCCAAACATATCCTTCAGCATGATCTTATCTGCTATGAGCTGGCAGATCTCTTTGGCAATGGAGGCTGAATCCGCAGGGACTGTGATGCTTTGGCCATTCATCAAGGTGACATTAAATACAATGGGTCTCTTCTGCTTTGTTGCCTGTAGCAAAGTTAAATGAATAAAAGGGACTAGAGGAAGGAAAATTCTGTTTCCCCCTGGAGACTGGAGGAATCTTTTGGATTAAAGAGCTCTCTCTGCACCCAGCTCTCTGTATGCATTGCACAAGGGGTGTAGGTTTCTAACACAGGGCCCTGGATCCCATTCCAGGGACCAGACACCTGACAGGTGTCTGTAGCTCCTAACATCCAAGTAATCACTTCCTTCATTGGATCCATCCCTGGATGAATAGCCACAGACCAGGACATGTCTGACAGTGTACCCCAGCAACCTAGCCAGCCCTCAGTCCTTCTGCAGCTGATTTCCACCCCCTGGACATAGACATATCAGTCAGTCCAGATAAATAAATAGAGTTCACCATGAATGAATGCCCAGGTTGATGTAACCAAGAACCTGCTGACGAGGAAGCAGCTACCTGGAGTTCCAGCCAGCTAGGAGGTTCTGCCCGCACTCCATTGGCATAGGTACGTTTCAGCCGATCGGCACAATATGGTGCATAGCTGGGGGGGCCTCTCTGGATGAAGTTCAGCAGGTACTGGATGGACAGAGCAGAAAAGACAGTTGGAAAACACTGCAAACCCACTGAAGATTGTAGAATGGATGTGAATGAACTTTGTTGTCCTAAAGCAACTTGCAAGAGTGCTTCATTTTTGTGATTGGAATCAAATGAACTGAGAATTTCTTGGCAGTTCCTAGTCAGGCTAAGCAGTTACACACAAAGATTTCCTCAGTTCCTGCAGGGCTCCCAGGAGCCTGTCAGTTCACTGAAATTCAAGGGAGGTGGCATTGCAGAGGTAAGTAGTGGCACACAGAGCTCAGTTGCTTGCAGGGAGGCCCAAGGTCTGTGCAGAATTGCTTATTCTGGTCTGCACATTTAGGTATTGACATTGGGAGTCTGGTAATTTAACCTGTTCCCTGAAGCCATGAGTCAGCCTAGAAGAAGCATGCAAGCTTCACACATCAGGAAGCCAAGTGTCCTATCTTTGGCCATCAGGAATTACGTGGTTCTCCCAAGAAGTGGGCGGGGTCATTACAAGATTTTCACCCTTTTCTAAAGCATCAGTTACAACCCCAGGCAAGCCAGGAAGACATATAGAAGAGGTGCAAGATGTAAAGGAACTTTTAGGCTAGAGACAGACATTACATGTAAACTGGTTTAAGTGATCAGAAATTTGTTTAAACCTGTAACAGAACAGACATTCATTGCACATAAACCATTTTGAAAATGGATGAAACCGGTTTGAGATAAATCTGGCTGACTTAACTGATTTGGGTCAAACCGGTTTATGCAATGTCTATCTAAGACTCCTTCCTTGTTTAACTTAAGCCAGAGTCCTCCAGCATCCCAGATGCTCTGCAGCCCTGGGCGGGGCTCTCTGCTCTGCAGCAGGGCTGGCTCCACAGCTCTGCTCCTTTGCTGGAGCTCTGGCAGAGATTACAGGCACAGCAGTGTCTGTCTGGCTTTCCCATGCCCCCTCTCCCCCACCACCACTCCGTGCTCAAGCAGGGATTCTTCCCTTCCCTCTCCCACAGCACGGACCATAGCCAGCACTTGGTATGCTAGTTAATGCTGAGAGGTGTCTATGTAAGGCAGACAGGACAAAGGCAGACAGGACAGTGTCCACTTAGGGCTTTTTGGAGCTAATCAGTGGGTCAGCTGGTAATGTCCCTCTGTTCCTTCCTTGAAAAAAGTGGTTTAAAAGCTTGAACTAATGAGAGAGGCTTTTGTTTTCTTGATGGGCTGCTAAATGGTCTGTTAGCAACTCCCTGCTGGGCTGGTCATGATAAGTGAGAACCCCTCCCTAATCAGAGCATCCTGCCAGGGCCTGGCCATACCCCTCCTCAGCTCAAGGCTCTGGAAGGGAAGGGAGGGCTGCTTCTTTCTTGAGCCACTACAGGCATGTGCCAGCATTTCTTCAGTCCAGAGGGAATGTCTGTACAGTTACAAACAAGTTCAGCCTAGCCAGGTTAGACTAATCTTTAAAGATTGAATCAATTCAGGCTCGGGCTTTTTGAATGTCTGTCCCTAGCCTTAGAGACACCACATGTGATTCTTATCCCAACTTTTCATTTAACCTCAAGTTGAGTTACTTCTGACTAGCACCAACATGAGAATAAAGCCTGTTGTGTTGAATTCATCCATGGGGTCATAGGACCATGGGTGTCATTTTGATTTCAGAGGCAAGGATTTCTTAGGGTATTGGATCAACTATATAGTTGAGATAAAGTTAGACAAGCTTTCAAATTTAAGACATTCTTCATCAGGTCATACTAATTATTCCACTGAAGTAATGGGTGGAGTTGCACCATTTGATCTTACTAATAACTCCACAGAAATAGTGAGTGGAGATACGCCATTGTTAAGTTCACATGTCTGAGCTAAGGTTCAGGCCCCATTGACTTAAATGGAATTATATTTAGGATTAGTTTTGCCTGCTCATCGTATGTCCCTTTTGAAGTGAGTTCTTTGGTTTACAGGGACAAATACAGGGAAAGACAAGGAGCACTTCTTGATAGCTACAGAAAGGGTGAGGACAACCACCTCAAGATAATTTTACAGTGCTTCATAATTGCAGAATGGGTAAGTGTACTCACAAATACAGGAGCATGCACATGCATGCATTCTTTGGTAAAGAAGTTGCTCCTGAATTTCACTCCTTGCAGTTCTTTCTTTCCTGCCCCCACTACACTCCATAATAAATATATAAATAAATAAATAAATAGAGAATGCACCAAACCTCTACCACATGCAAATTAACATTGTTCCACTGAAGTAATCTAGAATAATTCAAATGAAGCCAGATCAATGGTTTTACAGAGCTGCACTGACTCATACCTGAGGATCTGATTCATGTGTTTAGGTATCAGGGAATATTAAGTGTACAGTACCAACAAATATAAATGTATGAGAAATCCTGGATTCAGCCCATCTCCAGCTGCTATAGTGACTACATAGTTAACTTGACTTCTTTTATCTAAATAAAACAGCAAACAAGGAACCAGACCAGGTGAGGTCTTCAAGCTGCTGTAGGCTACGTGAGCACAGTACCTTCACAAATGTGTCTGAAGGAGGAAAACAGCCAAGGCAAAGCGACAGAAGAATCCATCCTCGGGCATGACTGCTCCGGTTGCTGTTTTCAGTGAGCTGTTTGCAGATCTGGCAGTAGATCTCATCTCTGTAAACGAGAGACATGTAATCAGGAGGACTGCAACCGATTGAGCCATCTGCACTGCAGCTGTAAGTGTGATTACAGCCCATTTAGCACACCTGAGCTATCTGTAACCCAGCTAGACTGAGAACTTATAATGAAGCCATGGAAGGAAATTGTGATTTTGGCTTCAGGAAGAAGAAACATAAGACTGTTGACTAAGACCTTGTGTAAGAGGCTTTAAGAAAACTCACAGTCAATGTTGGAGTTAACCCTGGAGCAGATGAGGTAAGTGACATGACAGTGTGACTTTAAAAAATTCAGCTAAAAGATAGTGGACACAAGTGTAAAAAGCATCAAAGCAAAAAGTTCCAGAAGAGAGAATAATTATTTAAAACCATCTCTTCCATTCACTGGGCAGATATGAGGCAGGTGGTACAAAGGGGAACACAAGGCACATGACAGTTTTATATCAGCTGAGGATCTCCATCTCTTATTGAAGCAAAGCTATAAGGAAAATGCCCTTAGGCTAAGAAAAGGTAAAGAATGACATACTAAAAAAAATACAATGTATCTGTGGTGCTTGCAAATAAAAATATGTTCCAGATACTGAGGTCATGAACCTGGGGCAGAGAACATCTGGCAAGCATATGGGTGTGAAAAAGGGCATGCATCCTCACAGCTGTTCCTCTAGCTTTAGGTAGAGGCATGTTTGGCTGGTTACACCTGCTCTGCGGTTAGGGAAAGGCTTTCCATTTCCAGGAAAACAGATTCATCCCTAGGAAGTCAGTCTGAGTTTCTATGAGGATTTGGGAAGGAGGTGCTGGTAGTGCATGTACCAGCAAGAGATTGGCCCAGGATGTGCAGTTCAGGGTTTCCTACCTGATGGCAGGGCGCAGGATCGCATTGCCAATAATGAAGTGCACTTTTTCAAGGTTAGACATAGGCCTGTCCGAGATCATGCTTTCCTCCTGGAATAGCTCCTCCCCATGTCTCAGATGACTTGTTACCTGAAAAAGAAGGGCAGAGCTCTCAACGCTGCTCTTGTATTATTGGCCAGAATACTCCCTGCCTAATACATTCCTTGGCAACTGCATGCTGCTGATCTTTTTCTTCTCCTCAGTGTAAGTTAATAAAAAATACCTGTGGATGTAGCAACCCCTGTACATGGCCAGCTAGCTGGTTCCATTTGCTTTTCTCTGTCTGCTGTCCCTGTTTGGTAATAGCAAGAAAAAACCTGCTGCACCCAGATATCACTATGATATGGGACATGTAAAAGTCTAGACTGGTGGTTTTTGAACTTTTTGGACTCAGGACACCCCTCATTGGACTCAAAGCATCCTTCCATAACTTTTTCTAATTGAGTGGCACCCAATTTATATTAAACTAATTTCATTTATTTTAAACTGATTTATATATTACAGTGCTTAGCTCACTAGAGGGGTGTGGCAGTGGTAGTGGCAGATGAGCCAGGCAGGGACAAGCCCATATCTACATTTATCTGCTTATTTCCACATCCCTCACAGCCCCCTTCAGAGAACCTTGTGGCACCACATGGTGCCATGGCACCCTGTTAACAATCACTGGTAGACAAGTAGAACTAATTTGTGCTCTACATCAACTTACGGTACACCAGGGAGCCAACACTAGAACCCTAGTCCTCCTGCTTCAAATACACAGGCCTTTACTACTTGTGCCAATGCTAGTGGTAGGTCCCATTCCCTTAACCAGAGGGGATCCACTTTTCCTCATTCACAAAGCCAGTGCATTATACTATGTTATAAACTCAACACAACTGTTCATAGACAGTGATTGACTTAAGGACTTGCTCCTGTAATTACTTTTTTAAAAGAACAGCTTGCTTTAAAAAGTACAATAAAATACCAGCAACAGCTGTCTTCTAACCTAAGCCTGAATGTTGGGAATGGAGAATAAAACAGCACCTTAAATAGCAAATATGTAAATATGCACACACTTGTATGTTTACATGGACATGCATATAAACAGGGTTCATGATTGAATTGGTTGACATTTTTCAGAGAAAAAAAATAGCTCTCTTACAAGCAGCCTTTTTCAAAACATGAAACATTCTGGCAAATCCTTTGATTTTAATGCCTTTTGAAGCTTTTTACCACCTTTTCTAGCAAAACAATTTTTGAAACTTTTTTCATTGACTACACTGGTAAACAGTGAATTTCAATAATATTGTTGCACTATGTTTCCATGTTGTACAAAAAGTGGTGGAAACTGGTCTGTTTTTGACACTGCAAAGTGGAAGCCATTTAAACATTTTTGTGACATTTATTGTGTTCCAACCAGCTCTAATTCACAGCATCTTGGTGAGGGAGAACAGGAAACTCAACCTGAAGTCTCCCAGTAGCACGGGTTAGAAAAGTCTTAGATATCTTTGTAAAGGGGGTTGAGGGGAGAGATTATCTCAGAGGCTTCAGAAAAGCCCTGGAAAAAAATGGTGTAAGCCTGGTAGGAATTAGCACATGTTCAGGGGACATGAGGGCAAAGAACTTTCTCACTTGTGAGTGGAAAAAGGTCAGAGATCTCTGTGCTGGAGGAACAAGCCTGGGTATAAGAAAGGGAAGATGGCAAACTGTCCAGGGAAGAACTTTTCTCACAAGGTTAGTTCAGCACCTAGAACAATGAGGTCTGTTCCAGATCAGGATCTTCTACCAGAACTGCAATGCAAAGAGTTATCAATAGCAATGGTCTTTCTGTGCAGTAGAAGTGCAGGAGCAGGACGAGCCAAAGGAAGGGGATGGACAGCTAGTGTGCAGGGAGTACAAACTTCTATGGGAAGAAGCAAAACACATCAGGAGTTTTGCACAGAGAAAAAGGCTGGACCCAAGCTGAAAGGGGAGGGAGTTCTTAGCCAGGGCAGAAGAAGCCTCAGTGTCCATCATCAAGCAGGAGCAGGTGACTGGACAAAAAAACTTGGGGAGAAAACTGTATTTCTACCACTCACCTTTCCTGTTAACTTGGAAGACCGTTTCAGCTTCATGGACGAAATAGCCTTTGGGACTTTATTATCCTTTCTGTATTCACTCTAAGATAGACAATATCATAGTAGACAATGAGTGGAATCCCCATCACACAGTATAGACCAGTGAATTAATGAACAGCAAGCAGGAAGCAAATATTCTCCTTTTTAGAGACCCACCATGGTGCCCAGTGTCTCTCACCAATGACCAGGCCTTTTTATTGCTTCCCAACAACATAATCTAGAAACACTGGGCCAGGGTCTCAGTTGGTGTAGATCAGAATTGACTTCAGTGAAACTACACTGATTTGCACTAGTTTAGGATTCAGCCTGTTATATTTAATTTTGCTGAGGCAATGTCTTTGGTAAAAAGAATAGTAAAGTATGAGGACTCCCTGGCAGCAGTAAACCTTCAGCCGCTGAGCTGAGGAGTCGCATGTAGCCTCACCATCTGACAAGTACGAGTAGCTTTCTCAGCATCAGCTACTTAATACCACAGATGCAATTTTCTGAACACCAAGGGTGTTTAACACTGGCTTATCCCTGCTCTCATCAAAGTCAATTAAAATTTTATCCATAACTTCAAGAGGGGCAGGATGAAGCCAGTGCTTGACACTTCTGAAATCCCACTCTCAGGGCACAAGAGCTGCCCTTACCATCTGATCAGGGCTAGATGGCAACCTTCAGTACTACTGAGAGTGCTTCAGTTCAGGATAAGAACGTGCTTATTCTCAATGAGTGTTACACTGTAAGGGGCATCCTGCCACATGGCAAAGAGATTTCTACAACTGGGACAGCTGTAGAGCCAACATCTATAGCTCTATTTAGCCTCCTCGTAGGAAGATGACTTGCCAATGGAAAGGTTTCTATGGATGCTACTGAAGTACAGAAGCCTAAAAGTTTCCCTTTGCTTCTCTCACCAGTCTGTATAGCAGCACAATACAGAGGAATGAATTTTCCTTCTTACCACATCTGGACTGTCATTGCTCAACATCTGGACCCGGCTTTTCTTGCCAAGTGTGTCATATATTTGTGTCATCACAGAGCTGCTCTTGCTGGTTTGGTTCTTAGCAAAGGTTGCTGGCTCTGGAAGATCACCCATGAACCGCAGGATAATGTTCCACACTGCTACTGAGGCCTAGAAATGCAGAAAACACAGCCAGATCTTGCAAGGTCTCACCCTACCACTTGTAGACAGTTACATCTACACAGAGGTAGGACTTCTGACTGCCCTCATCTAGAGTAAAACCCTGTGCCCCTTCTCACTATTCAAATGAGGAATCTCTGTAGTCCCTCAGGTTACAGGTGAGCAACACTTGTGCCCTTATATGGAAAGAATGGTGCGTGATGCTTCAGGTGGCTTTGCTGGGAACAGAGGATTTTATGGCTAGAAACAGGTGTTATATTTGTCTCAGAACAGAAAAGTCCTGGGATTGGCATGTACACGCATCACTCTGCCACTCAGGGCTTAGTGAGCAGCTGAATTCACTGCTGCTTCACTATAATCGATTCAATGATGCAGTTCTGGAACAACCATTCAGATGCACCTCACAATGTCCTGGGACAAACCATTAACACTTCTTATCCTGTGAACCTTTTTAGGGTTTGTCCAAGGACAGTGGACATGGGCATCTGAACAACTGCACTTTGTCCCAGAAGAAAATGGTTTCTCCTGGATGAAATGCAACCTGTGTTTGTAGCCTATGTAGCATTATAGGATTCAGGACAGAGCCCTTCATTTTGTAAGGCTGCCTTATACCAAGGAAGAATTCCATAATCACTTCCCCTTCAGCTGGAACAGTCACAGCAGGAAAGCATGAACCTCCTCTCTTCTCCTGCCCACCTCACTGACGGGCTTACTAAAAGGCAGCAGGAGTAAGTGTGAGCCTTGATGCCTTTTCTCTCCACTCCACCAGTCTGAGTCAGAAGGCAGTGGCAGAGGTCAAAGGAGAACCTAGAGCTACTTCACAGCTAGCAGAAAAATGGCAGGAGCCTCTGATGTCAGAAAGCTCCTGCTGCACAAAGCATTTTGAAGGCAATGCAATGCCTACTTCTGGATGCAGAGACTCAGAGGCAAGCAGCTTTGACAGACCCATGGAAGAGACCAGTTCTATTGCAATGCCTGTGATCAGGTGCCTCTGGCTCTAACGTCTCCCTGCCCAGCTCCCCTTCTCAGGGCATGCCAGGCCATTTGGAAGGAAGCTAGGGGAGCCAGCATAGTGAGAATGTTGCACAGAAAGAACATGATACCAGGATATCATCCTTCTCTTCATGGTAGAGTAGTGGGTGACGCAGTGGCTTCCGGATGTGCGTGTACGTGGAGGATCCCTGGAAGTAAGTGGCTGCAAACTTTGGAAACGTGTATTCTGCCAGGTCATCGTCTTCTTCTTCCAGCTCAGCACTCATAGGAACCATATCCAGATCCACCTCATCCAGCCTGCCCCTCTTTGTTTCCAGGTCCTGCATATAAAATAGAAAAAGAGCACAATTTTGTTTCTTTGCCATCTCAAATTATGATTTTTCAGCTTCCCTGCTTGCTAGGAAACAAAAAAAAAACCCACAGAGGGTCCCAGCCTTGTGTCTCTCATGCTAATCTCAATATTGCTTCTATCAGCTGGCAGTGGGCATCAGGAGTGGTGCCCACCTGTGCTCTTGGAGACCTAGGCATCTATCAGAGCATTGCAGCATGATTCACAGCTGGTCTTGGACCACAGTTCACTGGGATATCCAGACACTCTCTTGATCCTATAAATCCCTCTTTCCCTTACTGACCTCGAGAATGATTTATTAGGTCATTCTAATCTATCTGCCTCCTCCCCTTCCTGCTCCATGCCCTTGAGTTGTACAGGGTACTAGAAACTTCTGTTGAGACTAGAGACCCTTACTGGAACCCTGGAGTCCTCCATTTCCTGCACTCTTCCATTGCAAGAGACACGCAAAGGAAAAGTGCCAGGATGCATTAACCATGAGGCCAGGTGTCAGCACATATTTCAGTGCTAAAGTTTTCAGAATCCTACCATTCTCCATGCATTAAAGACATTAAAGTTAAAGCATTCAGTATATATCCAACATACTGCAAACCAAGGCTGTTTCAACATGGTCATTGATGCATGAGTTACGTCTCAGTAGAGACATGTAAGCCATCCTCTGAAATGAGTAGAAATGACTCCAGATGATGTTATCTTGGGCAACTGGCTGACTAGGGCACTCAGTAGAGTGGAAGAAGCCCAAAGCAATGGAGGTATGAAGAAATTAAAGTTGCAAGAAGGACCTGCATTCCCAAGTGACTGTACTTCCTGGAGCCCTCCTGATGTTGTCTTGCCTTATGCAAAGATCGAGACAGCAGGTTTCTCTGAGGGAAAGGGCCTCAGCAGAAGACCAGACCTAACTGTTAGGATGCTGCCAAAGCATGGACCTTCAGCCAGGGGCAACTTCTGTGACAAAATGCAACAGAGGGAGTCCTGAGCTGGGCTCATGTTTTCTAGTAGAGGTTGGAAGAATGTTCTTCACCTTCTTGCTACATCCTGCTAAGCAGTGTCCTTTTGCAAAGTACATGGAGGGCCCAGTGTCCCAATGGTCATCTCATGTGAGCTGGAGGTGCTGGGCTGTTCCTGGAATCTTTCCCCACACTGACAGTAGCATACACAGAACAAAGACCACACCCAGGCTGCACTACCACCCAAGCTGAATAAAGACCAGTATATTCCTTGCCTTTGATTTTAAGTAGATATATACCAGCAACTGTGTAAACTGTACCAGGCTAACCAGAGAAATACAGACAGGGAACAAACCCTGGAAGCAGAACTGAAGGCTGGTGAAGATAGGTTTTGCCTGGGGCTGCTGGTGGAATGGAACAAACACAGAAGCTGTTACTAACTCTGCATTGACTGACCTTCACCCCATGATGCCAAAAGCATGACTCAAGAAGGCAAATCTACCTACCTCTTCTCTTCTGGTCCCTGCTCTTGTTTTCACATTATGAAAGCGCACTGAGCAACATTTCATTGCACCAAGCATGAATCTGGCCTATTACTTCTTTGTTGCTATTTACCTCAAATCCCAGAGGAGCCTGCCCTTCTTGGCCGCCAATCATGGAAGGTAAAAAGCCAAACACTTTGTCCACCATTTCCTGGTCACTGATTGGATCATAGAATGATGATTTATGGGAGTCATGCTTCCTGCGTTTCTTGTCTTCCTTCTGTCTCTCCAGGTTAGATAGGTGCCCCTTAAACACAGAGATGGAACATTACAAGTGCTTGGAACTTAATTCAGGTAGAACCAAGGGCTTATCAAGACAAAGGCCATTTGCACTGTAGCTTAGTAGAGCAAATAAACAAGTACAAGCTTCTAATGTAAACACACTGTACTAGTGCAGTACAGTGCTTTTACTGGCGAGTTACACTACTGCAGGAATCTGAGAAGCAGAGCTTATTAAACTGTGCATAGTGCTGCACTAATGTGGCTACACTGCTTCTGATTTGACAGCTAGCCTGATGCATCACAGCCTGGTGCTGCCTCACACCCAAAAGTGCATAGTAGAGGAGGGACACAAAGCATGAAGTGACTGGTCTAATTCTGATTCCACCCATACTGTGTAATTCATGGTCTTACATTGGCACAGGCAGTCTGGGGAAATTTTCCGCAGTAAATAATATTGGAAATAAATATGTCGTCTTTACATCAACAGTTTCCCCTTTACACTCACAAGTAGTGTCACAGCTCTGCCTACATTTTATCACCTTCTGAAAATGTGTCCCTAAGTATATATGTATAGAATTGTTAAGCACATCCAGGTTTATAGGTGTGGTGTGGGGCAGTGGTGTCCAACTTTCTGGCCTTGGGAACCAGATGGGTGGTACAGGGTCAGTCTGTGGGCTGGATCTTGTGTGAGGTGAACACATGGGGTCAGTCCGTGGTTGCATTCCTGCACAAGAACCTAGACCCACACACCTAGATCTGGCTACAAACTGACCTGACCCCACATGCCTGGATCAGGCCACATGCTGGTACGATCTGGCATGCAGGGCCATATTATTCAGTCCAATGGGCTCCCCACAGGTTCAGAAATTTGGGGGGAGGGAAGCAACCATTAACACTGCCCCCTCCTCCCAGGACACACCAAATTTTCCAGCCCTTGGAGGGCTGCACAGGCTGGATGACATGGCTCTATGGCCAAATCCAACCCAAACTGAGCACGCTTCGTGTGGTGAGTTCATAAGCATAGAAGAGAACTCTGCATTCATCTTTCCAAACCCTGCCTCCTACCCATTCTAGTTTCCTGGCTTGTTCCCTTGCTCTTACTGGCCCAAGGACATGAGATACTTCTGCTCCTCTAAGCACAGCTTCCTGACTTCCAGTCTGTGCTGGTACTGCAGGAAATGGGAAGGTTTTCAGATCATCTTCATACTTGCTTTGCTAACTACATTGTGCCAGGAATGTGGGGCACTGCCTCCACTCACATTTTAAGTGGTCACTGTTGAGTGACTGCTCAGCTCTAGATTTAGTGTTGTAGGGAACAGGCTGGTATAAAAGGAGCACCATTTTTAAAATATTTCTGAAAAGCATTTTGGCCTTGGCTTTGGGAAGTTCACCTATCTTCTCCTACAGAGTCCAAAGGCCAAAAGCTGTCATCCACCAAAGGCAAGTACTGAAGGTGTGTTTTGCCCACCTCTACCACGTTTTGGAAGTGCCATGGCTCCCAGTACACTCCAAGTGTGAAAGGTTTCACTGGGACAGGGTGAGAAACGGGATGCTCCTGCCTGAGAATGTATGAGAGGGAGAAGAAAGACAAACCCCAAATCCTGCTACCTAGGTAAACAGTTGGCCTTTGGCAAGTACCAGTGACTAAATGCAGGAGCTGGAGCCAGGGCAGAGTTGCACTGCATCTCCTAAAGTTGCTTGACATCAGAGAGGGGCGTGCTAACAGTGGTCAAGGTGTCTTGTTATGATTCAGAGGCAGCTGTATGTGATAATGATCAGTTTGCTCCTTTGGGCACTGTTAGTTATGGACATTCACGTGCCTTAACCATGTTGGTGTAACTGGTACCTGGGCTTGGCCAGACCTTCAGTTTCTCTGACTAGAGAGAGATGCTTGGAAAAAAAAAAAAAAAAAAAAAAAAAA